GAATAAGGCCATTAAACTTTGCATTCATATGGCTTTTGTTAAAGAATAAAATATACTCTCATAAAAAAAGGTAAAATCTTGTCAATATGTGAGTATACGGCACTCATGATAAGCACTGCATATGAGATCATTACTACTAAAAAAAGATTAAATAATATAAATACTGGTTCTAAGTTATTTATGAGCACCCAAAAAATATATAAATAACTTCGGCGTACTATATCTATATCAATATAATAATTTTCAGAAAATCCATATTTATGGTTCGACTTAGTTCAATTTTAATAAGCCAGCTACCTGAGTAAGCATTAATATTGGCAACATAGTTCAGATGTTACATCTATTTTTGACAGACACCAGATTGACACCACCAGGTTGAATTTTGATAATCTTTGTACGAAGTTTTAAATGTGGACTTATGTGCCGCTGGATAGGTAAAGTGCTAAACTTTTATAAATAAAAGAAAAATAGCCAAAACTAGTCAAAGTGTCACTTGACTGAATCAACTGACACAAGGGTATATCGAAAAGTAGTAAGCTACGCAGACGCAGTCGCGGGTATCAGTTAGTTTTTCTATAACAGTATAGCTCATTATATAACAAAAACCATAAAAATCAAAATTTTTAACTAATTCAAAAATTCTAGCGGCATATTTGTAGTCAAAATAATGTCTACTCCAAAGTTAGTTGCAGCTTTTTGACATTATTTTCAAGGAAATATCTGTCGAAAAAGCTGCAACTAACTTTATAGTCGACTTTATGTTGCCTACGAATATGCCCCAAAAAATTTTATAAACTTTTCATACCAATTATAAACATTGTAATTAAAATTTCTAGAAAGGGTTTTTGTAAATTGCAACTTTGAAAGAAAAAGCAGTATAAAACTTCTGCTCTCAATATAAGCAGCGGCAGAACACCACATCTAATATGAAATTATAACTTTTAGAAATAGATATAGATTAAAGCAGTTGACTAGAACTTCTATGTTTCTTATAATCAATTTCTATTTGCAAAAGTTCTAATTTCATCTGAGCTTCTTTTACTTCGAGTGTATGCTTTTCTTTCGCCATTGCATGCTTGTCTACCGCCCTTTTGTTTTCTTCCTCTCAAAACAAATGATAGGAATCGGGAATGGTCTTATTTTTTTTCTGCTCTGATTTGACCTCCAGCTTATTAGCTTTTTTCGTCCGCAAACTAGTTGGATTCCATGAGCTCCAATCAAGTGTATTTTCCTGAAACAGTTTATATACACATATGTATATTAGGTAAAATTAATGGAAATACACTATAATATTATATTACAATCTCTGCGCCCTGAATAATCTCCACATCATTCGCTGTTTGACTTGGCATAGAGTCGTTCAAAGATTGTTGTTGTAGAAACCGTGCTTTTCCAAGCGAGGGGTTGAGGCGTATATCAATGTTTTGGTCTTTGATCGGGCTTTCCTTGATTGTTTCGGTAGCGGAGCGCAGATCCCCATTAATATCGTCCACATATTCGATTTCTTGAAAGGCTGAAATCATATACACATGTAATGAATATACTAGGGCTGAATGGAGGATATTGTGGAGATGGTCTTGGATTTGCATTTGCAAAATATGTGAGTTACGCGGTTTTGCAGACGATACGCGGCTTTGTACTTTAAACGGCGAAATGCAAAATCATATCCACAAGATTCTGAACAGCGCAATTGTCTTTTTAGCTCAGCACCAGATGGAAATCAAGCACAATTTTTAAGTTTTATATTTGTTTTTATCGCCGATGTTTTGACCTCAATTTAAGATCATCTTCAGGACTTGAAAACATCATTATGTATAAAAGCATTCATATGCACATGTTTATAAGCATTAAAAATAGCACAATTTGTTGAGTGTATAACTATGTATGTATG